GCTTCTTACATAACTTTGTGGATTCAGGCTGGCATGGAATCCTTTATTCCCTCTCGACGATTCCAGGTCAAGCCTCACTCTTCTCCATGGTTTTCCTCACATTGTGCTGCTGCAATTGCCAATCGAAACCATTACTTCCATATCTATCAGCAAAACAATTCTCCAGAAAACAGACGTCTCTTTATTACTGCTAGGAACCATTGTAAAAAGGTTTTGTCTAACACCAAAACCCGCTATTCTCAGATCATGAAATCTCGTATTTCATTACAAAAATTAGGCTCTCGTGACTTCTGAAGAATCTTTAATAGTATCAATAATAAGGGCAAGTCTGTAATTTCACCTCTTTTGTACGGTTCAGACTTTGTCACCTCACCTAAAGACAAAGCTGAATTGTTTGCCAAGAACTTTTCATCAATATCATCTCTTGATGCCACTAGTTGCGTTTTACCTGATATACCCGTCAAACAGGTTGATCCATTGCTCGACATTCGTATCACTCCAGCTTCTGTATCTAAAGTGATTTCCTGCTTAGACTCTTAGCTTGCGGCCCGGACAACATACCTGTTATAGTCTTGCAGAAGTGTTCTCCTGAGCTGTCGTCTATCTTTTCAAAACTATTCAACAAGTGCTTATCAAAGTCTTGTTTTCCATCATGCTGGAAAGCAGCATCTGTTATCCCTATTTTTAAAAATTCTGGAGAGCGATCTGACTCATCTAACTACCGTCCCATTAGTCTTCTTCCTATCATAAGCAAGGTTTTTGAATCTTTAATTAACAAACATTAATCTCTCATCTCGAATCTCATAACCTACTTTCTGATCATCCCATAACCTACTTTCTGATCATCAGTATGGATTTCGATCTTCTCGTTCTACGGCTGATTTGCTATCAGTAATAACCGATAGGTTTTATCACGCATTAGATAAAGGTGGAGAGGTTAAGGTCATTGCTCTTGACATTTCTAAAGCGTTTGATAAAGTTTGGCATGCTGGTGTATGCCAAAAGCTTATGCATACAAAGCTTATGGTGTATGCCAGATACACCATAAGCTTTCTTCTTATGGTGTATCTGGAAACATCTTTAAGATTATTGAATCCTTCCTTTCCAATCGTAGTATAAAAGTTGTCCTTGATGGACAGCACTCTTCTTCTTATTCTGTAACCTCAGGGGTTCCCCAAGGTTCAATCCTTAGCCCTATACTCTTTTTAATTTACATTAACGATCTTCCAGATATTCTCACATCTAAGGTGGCATTGTTCGTTGATGATACTACTATTTATTCTTGTCACGATAAGAAGCCAACTCCCTCTGATTGCTTGCAGGGGGCATCTGAGCTCGAAAAGGATCTCACTTCTGCTACAGCATGGGGCTCGCAGTGGCTGGTGAACTTTAATTCAGATAAAAAAATAAATTTTTTTCGGCTAATCGTTATCGCAATAATTTAGACCTTCCTATATTTATGAACGGTAATGTACTCGATGAGTCTCCTACCCTTCAAATTCTAGGATTAACTCTTACTTCTGATCTTTCTTGGAAACCTTATATCAAACCCATTGCAAAATTAGCATCTGCTAAAGTTGCTTCTCTTTATCGAGCTCGTCACTTTCTTACTCTGGATTCTATTCTCTATCTCTATAAATCTCAAACCCGGCCTTGTATGGAATACTGTTGCCATATCAGGGGCGGATCTTCTAATGATGCCCTTTCTCTTTTAGACAAGGTGCAAAAACGCATTGTAAACATAGTTGGACCTGCTCTTGCAGCCAACCTTCAACCTCTGTCACATCGTCGTAATGTTGCTTCTCTTTCTCTTTTCTACAAATACTATAATGGGCACTGCTCTAAAGAGCTAGTGTCTCTTGTGCCATCTACTAAAATTCATTCTCGTGTTACTCGTCATTCAATTAAGTCTCATCCTTTTTCTGTAACTGTTCCTAAGTGCTCCAAAAACTCTTATTCGTCTAGTTTTTTCCCTCGAACATCAGTTCTTTGGAATTCGCTTCCTTTATCTTGCTTTCCTGATTCATATAATTTGCAATATTTTAAGTCGTCTGTCAATCGTTATCTTGCTCTACAATCTTCATCTTTTCTCTTCCAGTAACTTCCAACACTAATTAGTGGTTGCTTGCAACCTTGTTGGAAGCGAAGATAATTAAAATATATATATATATATATATATATATATTTATATATATATATATATATATATATATATATATATATATATATATATATATATATATATATATATATATAATATATATATATATATATATATATATAATCTTACAATCTCTCCTTATGGCATATGTCATTGGTGTTTGCATAATGCTGGCCCACTACTGTGTAGTTTGAGCACTTTGGCATGACACAACAAATCTTTTAAATTGCTTTAAATCAGTTTTCTTGCTTTATTGCTAAGATTTGGTCCCATAAAATCAGAACATTACTGATGAATCCTGAAGGACGAAACAATAGCCTAATGTGTATGTGTGTGTGT